CCTTGCTTGTCCAGTGGGGTGTAGCACTCTGGGAGATGCTCAGTCTGAGAAAAACAGGATGACCCATATTGCCCCTTCTCTTCCACATTTCCTTTCCCTCATTTTTGTTAAAGATAAGGGTTGAGACCATCTGAGGCCTGGGATACCTGTTCAACTGCAATCTGAAGATACAGAGTGGGAGGAGAAGGCCACACCTAGATCATGGTGCCCTCTAGGTACTGCCTGTGGTCAGCCTTTAGGGTCTGTGTATCAGGATATGACACAGAGCACCCTTGAGATTTCTCTCGCACGTTAGCTGAACTGTGTTCAGGCACGCGCAGACATAAGACAGCACCCAAAATGGAGCTGGTCCTGCCTCCCAGGCTGTCTGCAGTGTGGTCTTGAACCCTGCTATGCCACCTGTCTGCCTGCATGCTTTGGTTTCTTCTTCTGACAGCTATGAAAAAAATCCTTCATCAATATCACTATAATGTGTTAAGACATCAATGTTTGCAGCTATGTGCTTTGCTCCCCTGCCAGACTTTTATTACTCAGAAACAGCAATGACAGACATAGACAAGCACCTGCATCTCACCTACTCTAGTGCAAAATCTGGTATATTACCTCCCTAGTGAAAAATGAGAGCACAGCAGTGTGAACTGAATGAACAGCTGAGCCACAGGTACACATGAATAAAAGGCAGGGTAGATTGAGAGAGTAATGTCTTAAGTCATGCCAGTATGCCTCAGTGAAAGATATTTGTAAAATAGGTGAATTGATCACTCTGCTATCCATATGTACCCATACTTATCCAGAAGAATAAGGATACATAAAATTACAATTCTAACATTACATCAAAGTCTTGAACTTACCCATCCTCCAAAAGTACTTTTATGAAAACGTTTGTGTGTTTGTTTTTCTTTATGTTTCAAACATTATTATTGCACGGTTTTCATTAGCTAAAGAAAGTTGCATATAATACATGTACCATGGTCACTGTACCCCATCCTATGTGACTTCTACACAACTATTTAAAGGAGTATTAAACCAGACTGGAAACGGACTGGAAATGTCCACAGTCTTCTACTGGACATGAACATTGCCATTTGAAAAACAGAAAAGATACGATCATTCAGTAAATCATTTTCTGTCATGGTAGTAATAAATGATATGTAAGAGTCAAAACTTAAGTTCAGTTATAATAATTCAAGAACATACCAGATCCAGGGGTATAGAGAAATCCAGCCAACCTAGAGCAAGGAATCTGTGTTCAAACAGAAGGCATACTAAAAGTTGTGGTGAAGAAAAGGAAACCTCTTCATTTGTGGTACATCAGTGGCGGATGATCTGCTCTTGGATCTCAGGCACTGTAGGAAGGTCTCCTTTCCACCCACACAGGTAGGAAGACTGAGATGCTGACCCACATTGTGGAAGTGAGAGACTAGTTACTTAGGGAACCACCCCTTGGCAAGATCTTGTTTCTTTCTTTGTTTTTTGTTTTTTTTTTTCCCCTTCACTGCAACTCAGTATTTTTTTTAAGCTTCTAGAAATCAGAGTTCTGAAGAAACAGCTCTTTCCTCCTTGATTTTGCATTGATAAATTTTGATAGAGAATATACTAATCTGAGAGAATAACTGTCATTAGCAACCAGAAGATTGGGTTCCTTTATTGAAAGATTATTAGATGCCACAGGATTTTTGTGTTTGAACAGACTGAAGAAGTTTCATATTTGTTTCTTACTATCCCACCTATTGTAATTGGCAACCAATTAAATTAATTTTCCCAAAGTCTTTTTATATTTTTTAGCTTGTGACAGTGACTGGTTAAGTGGTTTCCATATCCTTACCTTGACCCATGACTTTTTTCTTTTCCATCTTATTTTCTCCTCTGTCCTGTAGAGGAGGGGCAATGAGCGAGCAGCTGGGTTGGCATCTAACATTTGGCCAAAGTCAAACCACCATGGGATGCAACAGAAAAGAAACATCATGCAGGAAAAGGACTCACTGTCCCCATTGCATACATGTAAGTATGCATCGTTTTGCTCCTCTTGTTCAATGTAAGGAGAAGATTATGTAAGAAATGTAAGGAGATTATCCACTTGTCCCCACAATCATCACCACCTGCTGAGACTACTGCTAGCTTTTTGCCAGCAGTGACCAATACCCAATATTCAGGCTTCATCTCATATCTTTGATTATCCTAATAATCATTCCTTATTTTCAGAACCTCTAGGTTCCCCTGCTGGATCATAGATTATGTTGAAAGAGTTATGGAGCCCTCTAATGCCTGGACACTGCCTAATTCAGCTGATACAGATTTGCATATTATTTACCAGGCACCCAGAAGGAAAGGAGGAACCAATTACTTCATTGTGTCTTCCCTTGACAGATGGAATGACTTATCTTCCTTTACTGCCTACATAAAAATACTACTTTGGGACTATTTCTACTATATTCTGTTTCATTATAAGTCATTTATGGGTTTCCACATGGTTTGTGAAAGGTCATTTTGTAAGCAGATAAACCAGTACATCAGGACACAAAATGAACCTATACCTTAAAGGAATATAACGAACCTATTCCTTATATAATAGGAACAGGAGTCAGAAGACTCAGGTTGTAGCTCCATCTCTGCTCTCCCCTCCAAGTGATCACTGCTGAGTTCTGAGATGAAATGCCTTAAGTAACTTATGGCTTCAGGCCTTTGGGGTTTGGTTTTTCTCTGATTTTAACCTTCTTGAATTTTCTAAGGTTATATTGATTGTCAAGTTGTGCTGTAGGGTTGTTTTGTTTTGTTTTGTTTTTTGAGAAAAAAAAAATCAGAAACTATCAATAAAGTTTCATTTATTTATACATTAGATAGGAAAAAAAAAAGACTTTGTTGTTGTTGTTGTTTTTAGCTGTGCTCTTTCCCATCATCCCCTCTATCTTTATTATTTTGTACTTTTTAGAAAAATGAGCTGGCACTCATGGAAGTCAGTGGAAATACTTCTGATAACTTCAGTGAGCTCTAGGGGAAGTCCTAAAGGCTCACACCTTCCAGGCAGAGCTAATGTTCTTACTGGAACTGTTCCCTGGGCAGGCATGTTTTAACAAGTGCTCCTATGATTAAGCTGGATTGTGAAAACAAAGTACACAGAACCGGGAGCCCCTGACACATTTCTAACTTTATTAACAACGTAAACAGATGCAGGCAGGTGCAAAATCCTGTTAGGATTTCTTGAGGCCCGGCCCCTGCTGGAATCAGTAGTCTTGTGTTTGCCTCTGGCTGCAGGGCAGCGCAACGCACAGCTGCAGGAGTTCAAGATGGCATGGGGGCTCTGGTGGTACACACAGCCCCCTGGCGTGGTGTTGGGTGTCCTCCTCCAAGGGCTGGCAGTGGGATGCTGCAGGGGTGGCCACTGTGAGAACTGTACAGAGCAGCTCATCCTCTGCTAAGAAGGACCCTTATTGTCTCCTCCAGGCCATCTGGCCTCCAGGACAGTGAGGGTTGCTGATAATGACCTGCTTTGCCTGCACTTTTCCAGCTCAGACCTCACAATAGTAGCCCTGCACATCAAGGGCTACAACACATGGCTTGTCCCAGCTCTGGAGTTGGAAGGGACCTTACAGATCATCTAGTTCCAAGCCCTCTGCCATAGGAAGGGACATCTACTAGATCAGGTTGGCCAAGGAACCATCCAGCCTGTCCTTGAGCACCTCCAGGGACGGGGCATCCACAGCTTCTCTGGGCAGCCTGTGCCAGTGCCTCACCACCCTCTGGGTGAAGAATTTCTTCCTAATGTCTAATCTAAATCTATCCTCTTTTAGTTTAAGACCATTCCCCCTTGTCCTATCATTGTCTACCCAAGTAAAGAGTCCCTCTCCATAATTTTTTAAGACTCCTTTAAGTATTGAAAGATTGTAATGAGATCTCTCTGGAGCCTTCTTTTTTCTCCAGGCTGAACATCTCCTCTTCCTACTTGATCTCTTTCGAAAGAGGTCTACATTTTCTCTATGGCACAGCCTACGTGAAACTCTTTCCTCCTCCCCTGCTCCAAGTCCAGCCTAGGCAAGCAAGGGAGGGTACACGTATCCTCAGTACCACACTACAGTCAGCATACTGTGAGCTCTAAGACTGTTCACAGGCTCAGACCCCAGCTCTTGCTGAAGAAGTCCCAGAGCTTAAATGGTTGAGACCAGGAGAACATGTGCAGGAGGTACTAATACTCACAGTACTCATACCACTGCTGGGGACAGGATCCTGAGCTAGGTGGCCTTCTAAAGCTGTTCTTCAGTTCTCATATATCATCACCGTTGAACAAAATCTATTCCAAATTTTGTTGAATCTAGATAAAAGTCATACAAAAGCTGTCTTAAACCAAGCCCCTCATAATGTCCTTCTTCTCTTGTGGCTATCAGTTACACAACTATTACATAAATTTTCAATGAAGCCTCATTTGTCTGATTTGCTTTAAAAGGGAACTAATAAAGTACATCCAGTTGTCTCTTCTGGCAATTGATTTTTACAGAGAAAAAGTGCCTTTCTAGCACTGCATTTTTGTGTAGATCAAATGCCAGCATTCCTCAAGGTTTTGAAAAGCATCTGGGAAAAATACTGTACCAGTGGAGTCACTCCTGTAGTTACATGCCAGCATCATTTCTGTTTTCCAAGTCAGGGTTGAATGATACAGACGGAATATCTTCACATCTTCACATTTCATTTACCTCTTTGACTTCATACCAAAAACATGGCATCCAGGAACAATGGGTAGAAACTATTACTGGTTTAGTTAAATAATTGAGTCTAACCTTCTTTCCTCTTTATCATTGTCCTATGACATGGATTAGGATCAAAAAAATAATTTTTCTCATGTGACAGATGTAACCTTGTCAAAATGTTATCTTTTTGTTCTTCAACTACTAATAGAACATGTACAATCTTAACAAAGCATTACAAACAAAAGAATAAAAATATATGTCACCTTTTTTTCATCATTTTACCACTTAGTTTCTTATAACATTTAGCAATTCACTCCACAGTCAGATTTCCCAGTGAGAGGCTGTAGTACCTTTATTATTTGCAAAGGAATTCATCAAACTGAGTGTTTTCAGACTTCTGGAATCAGTGAGATGACCATAAACATGCTCAGACTTAAACAGTACCTTCGCACAGTGCTTCTAGTGACTTTATAGGTTTTTTCTCCTTTTCTGTACAAACTTCAAAACTACTTCAAATATACCCAGAAAAAAGAATGCTAAGAAAATTACCTTATCTCTGTTAACATATTGTCTGCACTGCACATTTCATCATACTTAGTATGATAATAAGTTTAATTTCTTATTGAATAAGTTATTTATAAGTCCTTCCCATTTTTCTCTGTTGCGATAATCTTTCTTCGCCAAAAATATATAATATGAAAGCAGTTTGTACTGGTCTTTGTAATAGCCAGAGAGAGTAATAACTTTGACAACCTCACCTCAGACCTTAACACATTAATAAAAAATCATGGTAATAACAAGCAGAATTATTTCTATTGCCAAACATAAGGGTAATTTTAATATGTAGTTTGATTATCCCATTCTGCTATGATATCTTTTTAGGTTACACATACTGTAAAGTAGAAGGGTAATAAAAATCATAAATATCAACCCAGGAGAATCTGAAGCAGCATATAACTAAATCAATCCATGGCTATTCTGTCTGTGGAACTGACAGAGCAGGACCTTTGGGATCATCAAATCTGCTGTTTGCTGTGAGCTGCATGATCATGTGGACTCCATAGGCCAGGATCCACAGTAAAATTGCAGATGTCACCAAGCCCATCCAGATTCCAGGAGAGAAGAAACCCGTACAGTCACTGGCGTAAGAAAACTGGCCATTTTCCACATTGAATCCTTGAAGCTGAGAATGAAGAAAGGTAGATGAGTGCAATTAAATATAGAGCACAGACCCAGCGGATTTCAGGATGTATGTGGGCATTACAAAAAACACAATCACAGCCCATTTAAAAAGAGTGAGAACTAAATCCTTTGCTAACAATTTTTCAGGTCCCCTTTCCACCCAGAAAATTTAAGATGTGGTAGTTTTATATTTGGCAAGAGGGAGGTTGTGTTCCCACTTCAGAAATGTGTGTTACTGTTAGAAGTAGATTTCCAACCAAGATGTGTGATCACTATAGCTTGATGACCACTGCAGAATCGGGGCTCTCAATGTACTCAAAGGCATGTGGACTAAAGCTCCCCAAATGAAGGGAGATGTGTTGAAATACCCCGTTGTTTTTAGGTAATAGCTCCTTGACAAGCAGAACTTCTGAAGCCTACTTTAAAATGCATCTAATGATAGATGACTTTTTCAGCTGAGTTTTAGTAAAAATTCAAGAAGTTGGGAAGGTTTTTTTCCCCACCTTCTTAGACATCAGAGATGCAAAAGAGGAGAGACAGCTTCCTTCACTGAGGTGTGGATTCTATGTTGTATATTCACATATGAAACCTAAGTTTTCCTTGTGGTTAGGGAATCTTGTATTTCTTCTCTGATTGGTTTCTCAAAGTCTGCTACTGGTTGAACTCATGCCGTATAATTTTCCTTGGAAAAATCAACTGATTCGAGGATCTATTCTCTGCCTAGCCATCAATTTTGCAAAAATAATCAACAAACTGAATGCCTTTGAGACTGATACCATTCTAAATTTTTTGCTAAAACCAGTCAAAGGATTAGGAAACTATGAAGAAAGAGAAGACAATCCTCTCTCTACACACATGGACATAATGACTTCCTTCGAAAGTAAGGGAAACTTACTGGTGGAAGTAAATTAAGGAAAAGAAGATATTGGATTTTTATTTTTCTATGTTCCAGTTCCATGATTACTCTATGCTTTCAGATAAACTAATGTGAAAGCTTTGTGGTAGTAACTGAGTTTGCAGTTCCTAGGTAAAGTGTTGCTGCAGATACTAAAGAAATTAGTCTGTGGATTGCATACAATGCTACATCAGTGAGCTGTCTGAGTTTGAGGTCATTTGTGGCTCAGGCAGCTGAAGTTAAGGTGTACATTATGTGTGGTAAAAGCAACGACTATACCTTACAGAATGCTGATTAATAAAGCTATTATCATATGCAGAAGTGAGGCCAATTTAGGCACTGTGGAGGCGAAGATAATTTTAGCACTAAAAGATTTTCTGGGCCTCTCGAAGAATCTTTCCAAGTCAGATCATGGTAGCTAACTTGCAAATCTTGAATGTTTTCACTACAGGCAGTCAGAGTTCTGATTAAAGCAGGATTACTGAAAGTAAGCTGTTGGGCAGAATAACTGCATGGTTTTCGAGAATACAGGTGATTACCAAAGCCTTTTCTTGTTAAGCCACTGCTTTGTCATGAAACATAGTCTGAAAGACATATTTACAATAAAAACAGAAAACAGGTGATGATTTATGTAATTTAAGATAAGTAAGTTACCACACTTACGGGAAGTTTCTGAAGCACTTAATAGCTGTATTTGCTTTAGCAAAGCTTTATCACTTCTGATTTAGAAACAGAAATACAAAATTTTATTATGTTGAACTTATTGGTGATTGTTTTGTTTGTTTGTATCTTTTTGAAGAAGGATTATGCTTATTGAACCTCTGAGGGTGAAAGCTTTAACTGTACATTATTAAAATGTGATTCCTGCTTTTAGGAAAGAGACGAAGTATATGCATGATTCTTTTATTGTTTTTCTGAAGCTTAATCATTTCTGTGGGGGTGTTACATCCCAACTGGGAGGTAAAAATGTGACTACTACTTACGAAAAAGTTAAAAATACTTTAATGTACTTTTCTAATTTTTGTGAATGCAAAATACAGGATACAAGCCTCTGTCCTGCAGAAGTTTTCATTTCACTGCTTGAACCAGCATCATTTGTCTTGGCTGTACCAGTCTACATTTACTGTTTATTTTTTAAATGATTTTGTTTGAATTGTTTCATTACCTTCATTACATTCATTCACCTTTGACAAAGCCTTCAAGTAAATCTGTTGTTTTCATTGCTCTTAAGAGTACAATGCACATCTAATTTTTTAAGGTAGAAATACTCCAGCCACAAAGAATCCTAATTATCCTAATCCTTATTAGCTTTAAATTTTTGGTAGTTTTTGTTAAAAGCAAAGTGGCTTCTAAATCAGTACGATGCATACTAAAGAAAACTGTGCTTGATGGCAGACTCCTGTTTAATTTCACAGAAACTCTTGAGATCCTCAAAACAATCATGGTAGAACAACCATTCTTGTGACAAAAAAATAATGCATTGGTACCCTTTACATCTATGAGCAGTGACATTGTGTAATGGCTTTGTCTAGATACCATCCTACAGAGGTTCTTACATGGTAGTGACCAAGCTAGCTCCAGAACTAAAGCAAATGGCTGCTCATTTCAACACCGACCTGGAACATGCTATGCAAGGCTTCACTGTGTGGGTGCCATGACCTTCTAATACAGTGATACTGCTTTGATGACCCAAGGTCGTAAAGTGCAATTGTATGAACTAGATTGGCACTGGATCTTGGTCTCTGATTCATTGCATAACACTGAAATTAAAATCATGTTTCCCAGTGTCAGCAACAGATCTTGTGCTGGCTGCAATCACTAAGCACATCCCATGTGCTTTTTTCAACTTACAACATAGCTTGGGAATTACCTAACCTCGTTATTGGTCAAAGACCGATACTGAGATCGTTTAAACTTTATTACATGTAAGTGGAAGACAGTTGGAAAGGTATGATCTAGTTCAGAGGGAATTTACTTAGAAAGTGGCCCAAAATGGAGACTTTCTGGTTTTACTGAGTCACATGCAAGGAAAATGATCTGAACAGGCCTTTGCAGACTGTTTTTTATACTTAGGTCTTCCTAGAGAAAAAGGCCTTACCCCAAAGGAAAGTTCTGTTGTCTGAACAGTGGAAGGAGCTAATGGTCCAAATCAGTAAGGAAGGTGGACAACCTACTACTTCTACTTTTAATCAAGATACTAGTGGAAGGATGGCTGCTAAAGATAGAACAAGACTTCTCCCTAAGCTTTGAGATGACAACAGTATCAAGGTACACAGAAAGTCTAGGAAAAGGTAGGTTGTTGTAAGTGAACCTTTTGTATTTTCTTAGACTATGTATTTTCATAGCTTAGCTTCAAAGATTTGACTAAGCAAAATCCAGTTGCACAGACTCAGGTATTTTCAAGCCTTTCCATAAACAATACAATCAGAAGGAAACTTAACAACACTGGTATGTACTGCTATATTGTTTCTCAAAAACTGTGGGACTTAGGATCTGTGGATTTCTGCACAGGGGAAGATAAAAACTAATGATTTGGAAGGAAAGCTGCCAGAGATACTTAGGTTTAGCATTTTTATGTGACTGAATAATGACCAAAGATATTAAATTTGCTGTTATTTCAATTCTTCATTTTTGCATTCCATCTTTTAGAATCTGAATCTGCAATGGAAGTAGCTATGGGTAGTAGGAAGAAATTAAATCTCACCACCAATGCTGTTCCTTCAAGATTGCCAATGTTTAAGCTGAAATGTCAAATACTAATTCAGATCATTGAGACTGTGCTACCAAAATCCTAACTATGACTGTATTAGCATCTGTATCCAGTTATCACGAGATTAGTGCATCTCTAACAAATAAAAGTCCACTTTGGAATTATTCCTATAATTTTCATGCTCTTTAATCAAACATATCCCTTAATGTAATATTGTTTCAAAATATAAGTGTTGATGTACTTATCCTAAGTGAAGATCTGTGCCCAAAATAATAAAGATGCAATCATCTACACCTCACATATGTAGACTGCACTACTGCACTAAATATACAGAAAACCTATATCTCATTAAAAAAAAAAGGAGAAAAAATAAAAAAAAAAAGAAGAAAAAGAAGCAAACCGCTTTCCTTCTGGGCCATGCAGGACCTAATATTGCTTCTGATTGAAGCTCATGGCAAACCTTCCATTAAATCTAATTGTACTGGGCTTTGTTTCTGTCTGTAGGAGTTTAGACAGTCTATGTCATTGAAAGCTGTAACCACACTAAGCTGTACTTTCCTAGGTAAATAAAGAGCAAAGAAATCAAATAAAAACAAAGTAAGCAGCATAAAGCCACCCACTTAAGAGGCCCATGTTTCCAACAGCAGCCCAATTCATTAAACAGGCATGGAGATTTAGTCATTCTTTGCCTGATTAAGCACATTTGGTTTTATTGGCTTTTCTTCTCTGCAGACAACTTCAGAATTTTTTTGTTTTTCACAGCTGTGCTTCCATGTTCTTATTGTTCTGCAACTGCCATCTCTTTTACCCCTTTATTAAATAGCTCACCTATGGGGAACAGCTTTTCTTTTTACTTTTTTTCCTCAGGCTGAATTGAAAGTAAGGGCATTATGAATGTGTGTCGTTCAGCACCTACAATAGCAAGTAATAGTTCCTAGAATTATCTCTGAAATGGCAATGTGTACTCACTTGGAAACTGGAAATGAAAACATCCCAGTTACTTGCTTCACTGTTGGATGGAATCAGCCTTGCAGGATAGAGAGTGCTTGTTCCCACCAGCTGACAATGAAATGAATACTCTGCAGGAGCAGAGATGACAGAAACATTAAACGTAGCAATTTTTCCTTCATCTTGTTTAATCTCAACTGAATCCAAAGTGGACCAATATCTAGCTGAGCCTTCATAGAACTTGTTGGTCATTATAAACCTAGAAAGACAACAGAGAAAAAAAAAGAGTTCAAATGACAGAAAAAAAAAAAAATAACCTTCATTTGATAAAGCACTGGTTGCAAATAAAGGTCCACAATCAGTAGCTGCATACATCACAGTTGGTATCTTGGCCTCCCATGTCATTAGGGTTGTTCATAAGTGAAGAGCCTTTGTGAACGTTTCTATTCCTTCTTGGAGTTTCATCTCACAAGCTGTGGCAGGCAAGGAGCAAGCAAATGTGATTTCATTCTTCAAGGGCCTCTACCAATGCAGTATTTCATCAGTTACCAACAGTTTATAATCAGTGGAGCTGAACTTGAGAGACTGTCAACAGGCCTGCAGTGGCTCTCAATAAACAATTTATGGGATTTTATTTTTTTTTAGATTGCTTTTATGATAGGTACAGGTCTGATAACCATTTTGATTTATCATTGCAATTCTTCCATGTCTCAGATGCCTAAATAGCAATCTGCCTTTGCAAATGTCTGAATTTACAGTGGAGGACAGATTTTTCTTTCACTAGATGAGGGGGAGGGGTTGTTAGCTCTAGTTTCCTAATTTGTAGCAGGTTAGCCACAAATGAATATTTTCTTATTTTACAACAGTCAGTTAACAGTAATTTATAATTATGGAATTTGTATGTAAGTTACTACCACTGCAGTATGAACATCGCCCGAATGTTTTGAGTTAGAAATAATTGAGAACATCCAGAAGTACATCTTTGTTTATACACATCAGGACTATGTCTTCATCTTTACTATTTTTATCCTGATGCTTTTAGGTAATCATGTTATCTCTTAAGGAAATGATAAACTTTTATCTTTATTGTATGTTGCTTAATACTTTAGCCCTATTTGGTTTATGTACTCATTCATCTATTGTTTGCTGAAGATTTTTCCTGCTTATTGATATCCACAAAGCATTTAGAAGAAGAATCTTTTTAGGAATAAGTGACCCTTGCTACAAAATTAAATATTCTAATATGTCTATCCACAATGGGTATTGCTATCTGTGGGTCTTAACATATTGGGTAACATTTGGATTCAATTATGATAGGTTTGAAAAATAATTAGTCTAGAAATGTGGAACAATACAGAATATTATATGTTCCGTATGATGTATAGATGGAGAAGAAAACATTCTCTATTGCTTGTTTAAATCACTTACTTTCAGTAGCATATCATCCACACAATGTAAGAGTGTAAACTAAACACAACGTTCCTTAGAAATAAAGACCAAAATCACTACATTAATTGAACTTTTTTTTTTCCTTAAAAAAAATAATCTGTGGCTTTAGATTCCTATAACTCCATAATCCTGCAGAGTTTCAAAATCCTCAGAAGAAATCCTAGAACTCAAAGTGTCGTTCAGGTAAGAAAAGGATGTTTTGTCTTATGGCAATCCTTTATGTCCTGAACTTAAACAGCTCTTTCCACACTACATTCATCTGCAAACATCAATGAAAAAAAAAAAAGAAAATATCCTTTGAATTGCATTTAGTACACGTTCACACATATTTATGGAATGATTTTCTATTGTTCAAATGATAAAGTTACAAAATTAAAACCTATATACTCATAGATACTAATTGCTAGAAGAAGGGAAACTTTTCCTGATATATAGCACAAACTGAACAGAATTTTCAGCTATAGGCACTAGCTGCACTTTTTCAATGTAAAGAGAAGGACAGTTATAAATACACAGAAGCTAACTTAAATGTTTGTACCAATCACAGACACTGGGTGTGTTCTGTACCTTTGCTGAGAAGATAAGAAGATGAAGAAATTCCCTGGAAACTTACCATATGAACAAACAAGTTTTATAAGGCTATGTATATAAGTACAATCTAAAGTGCCATCTGCGAGAACACTGTCTCTTCGCATTGCACAAAAACTAAAGCTTAAACTTTTTCTTTTTTTTTTTTTTTAATTTATGAGAATTAAGATTTTAATTAGGGAACTAGTTGCCCAAGGTTAGTGTACCTATCCAGGCTTTTGTCCTTAGAATTTTTCCAAACAACTGATAATAATTGTCTCCAACAAGGACACACTTAACTGATAGCTGATAAAACTGTTAATGTATTACATTACAAAAAAGACATTCAAGTAACAAAAATCAATACTTTTTTCATTTAAGTTAATAAATATTTTCTTAGGTGAATAGATAGAATGAACATGACATAGCAAATGCATGACAAGGGGAGGAGATGTAATGAAGACTTTATTTGTAGAACTGAAAGTTCTTGCCTTTTACAGGAAATGATGGGCTCATACTGACTATTAGAGGCAATACAGGAAGCAAATTTACACATAGCCATTACATACTTGTAAGTATTGTGGCACAAACTATTCTTGGTCATGTGCCAGACTCCCTTCGTGCCAGATAACCATATGAACTCTAAATGCCACCAGCTGTTACCATTTCATGCAGCTATTCATTACAAGGAGATAAATTTCTGAAAAGGAAGTTTTCTGGAATGACTGCTGTCCCAAAGATTGTAAAAAGAAGCACAACTGTTAGGCAAAAGACTTTACAACACAGTTCTTGGATCTATTCCATTCTAAACATGCTACACAACAACAAGTACTTAGAAGTTTAAGTGGGGAAAAGAGTAGGGAAGTCCTGTCCAGGTAACGCTGTGCACTTCTGTCCACTTTGGCACCGTTCCCCAGAGAAGATGACAAACAGATGCATGAACAGCTGGAGGTCATCGGCTGCTGAGAAAGCCGAGATGCTTTTTTTCTTCCAGCAAAAGCCCGCTGCTCCTACCCCTGCTGCAGCATTAGTGTACTCTTCTAAAACTCGCACAGCCAGAAGCCCTCTCGTATGGCTCCCCAGCAGCTCACCCCATTTTGGTAAGTGCAGGAGGTTGACCACTGCTCTTGCTGGAGGGAGGGAGAGGGAGAGGCAGCTGTTTGCATAACAAGGCAGCTATTGCAGTTGCTTGTAGGAGATGGATATGCCTAGCTGCTCAGCCTAATGTGGAAGACTCGTGGTGTTTAAGGGCAAGTAGTGTATCTAGCTCATGCTGCTGAGGTTAGAGTTTATTTTACTGAGGAACAAATAGAGCTATTTGAACGTGCTCTTGTCTGGCGTCACTTTATTTCTTCAGGGAATGTTCCCCTACACCTAAGTAGATGGCCTTTACAGGGAAAAATACGCAGTCATGGCTCTATCCTGCGTTCCTTCCCACCTCTTTGCTCTGCTTGTGTCCTTTTCACAGAGGCAGAATGTGCTCTTACTAAAAAGTCATCTTGAACAAGAAATGTAATTGAAGTGAACCAGAAGGTGAGCAACCAGAGGTTGTAATGTATCTGTGGGTTTTAGAAGTCCTTGAGAACAGACACAGTGGGATAAGCAAAGTAAATAATGTGCTCCTTTATCATGAAAGATCGATGGATTTCTCTAGTTCTGTTGAGTATGTATTACACACCCCATGCAACATCACATTATGGTAGCAAATAGTAGCTAAAATGACCTCATTGTCTCTTAAAGCAAGAGATAAGACCAAATAACGCAAATGACAAGGCGTGTCTTTAGCAGAAAGTTTTCTTTACAAAGTCTTCTGAGGTGTCATGGGTTGATGTTGGCCAGCAGCCAAGCACCCACATACCCACTTGCTCACTCCCTGCTCCCAATGGGGCAAGGGAGAGAATAGGAAGAGCAAAAGCAAAGAAACTTGTGGTTTGAGTTGAAGACAGTTTAGTAAGTGAAGGAAAGAGGAAAAAAGTTGATGCAAAAGCAATCACTTCCTCCCAGAAGTAGACCAGTGATCAGCAAATACCTGAGCAATGGCTACCCTGAAAGCCAAAAACCCCACAGCCCTTTCTTCCTCTATCCCAGTTTATATTGCTAAGCACTTTTCACATATAAAAAATTATCACTTTAGGCATTTTTGTGTCTACACACATGAAGCTCTAGATGCTTTTTGGAGGGGCAGGATAGTGGTAAGGCTTTAAATAGAAAAGCATATTCATTGTTTTGCCACCTATCACGGCCTCTGATCATAACTACAAGTGTGTCTGTTCACTCTAAACACAACTCCAGACACATAACTGGCTCTCGTCAAGACAGGTCCTTGTTACATGCAAATTCAGTTTAATGCAAGCTACCTGGTCCAAATCCTTCGCCTGTAACTAAGCAATTTACTGAGGTACCAAAATGAAAAGGCCATGTTATCTTTGCCAGAGCTTAAGAAAGCATCTACTACTGCTGTGAGGACTGCCATACAACTACTGGTCCACAAACCTCAGTTCTTTCCTCAGCAGCAGGAACAGCAGTTGATTTTTTATCCTCATCTCTGAAGTGTATTAGTGAGAGCAACAGCAACAAGTTTTCCCTTTGAGTTTTCATGCCAGGTCTTCCTTTTCCATATTTTCTCTTCCCTGTTCTTATGGTAGAAGAATCCTGGTCTTATCACCATCCACAGAGAAGAAAAATTACCAGTTTTTGCAACCCTCATTAGCCACATGCAAACTCCAACAGAGTACACTTGTAATCCTCATCACCACTAAACACAACCCTGGCAATGCTGGTAGACTTCAGCTACTAGAATTATTTACAAATTACAGTTCAGTTTCCCTGAGACCGGGTTATGTTCTGATCCTATGAGCAAAACAAGATGCTTTATATGCCACTATGTTACAGTATGGTTGTTTGCCTGCACTACTTTTTCAGAACTTTACCTGAGCATGCTAATGTATTCTCTATATAAAGACTATTATTCTTCTCTATATAAAGACTATAATTGTTCTACTCTATGATAACTCCTCCACAAAGAAACAAAATAATGATTTTAAAAACATTTTCACTTAACTCCTCCTCTTTTTTCTTTGTCCTAGTTTACAAATGGGCTTTATACATCACAAAGATTTATTTAAGAGTAAATCATAAGTTACCTTATCTCTAGGCTGTTGATCCCATTCACAGGCTTTGTGTATTTTAATGACAGTCTGAGAGTAAGAAAAAGATTTTTAATGTTAGAGTAGTCAGCTTTAATTAGATCATTGTGACATTTCAATCAGAGGGAATATTCTGAATCAATAGGCAATTACAGAAGTCATGTAGCAAAGGTTCACAGCACAAAAAGTACACAGAAAAATATGACAAAATATTTCTATAGTCTTTTTTTTTTTTTTTTACCCAAGAACAGGTGCTTCAAAATAAAGGAAAACAGAGATCATGTTTCATTAAAGTACTTCCAACTGAAGTACCACCTACCAACTGGCAATATTCCACTTCAAGGGAATTTTACAATGAAACGATCATCTCATTAATGCCAGCAGAGATCTCTGTGACTGTAAAATCATGCACAGAGAAACCTGGTTGGACCGAATATAAACAAACAAGGAACTAAGTAATGTACAAGGAAAAAAATATAGAAAAATAGAGGGTGCATCTGAACAATCTCTGTGATCTTGACTCAATCTTCATCCAAGAATATTAAATGCAAAATGCAAATTTTGGGTGCTTTGGAAGAAGAAAGATTTATCCTTTATTAACTTCTCATTGTTTCATTTGATTAGCTTTCAGAACCACATATATGTGAAAAGTGAAATTTCTTGTTCTACTCACGTTGTGTTGACGTTGGAGCACACAGAGGAAGAAATGTCCACATTCTGGACTACAAATGTTGCATTTGTCAAATCTATAAAAACTGAACTGTTGGCTTTGAGGCTGAAATTACCAGCATAAAAAAGGATGCAAGTATTATTTCCAATGGTCACATTCACAGGAGGATATGATGAACTGTCTTCCTCAGTGGCCAGTAACTGTCGTCTTAAATTCCACATCGTTTCAGTTCTTCTAGAAATCTGGAACAACAGCACATTAACAATTCATCACCTTTGGAAGAGATGATGTCAACTGAACACAGACCTTTAACATTCTCTCCCATGAGCCCCCATCCTTCTTAGATATGTAGTTGACCTCAATATTTATAATTGTCTGTCTTTTTAATTAGCAGTATGGAGGTTAATTGGGTGGTATTAACCTTTGTTCCCATGGTCAGGTGTCCACGGATGAAAACAAGCACCACTGACATGAGGTAAATTAATAAAAACTGTGTCAATGCTGCCTTAAGATAGTAGTATGCATTGCTGTTAGCAGATAAAAGAAATATACGTATAGATTACAGAAGAATAAACAGAAATAAATTCACCTCTTTCCTGTGATAAAATCACAAGAAAACTTCAACTTGCCAGCTCAGTGGCCACACTCCTTAGTAACGACAACAGTTTTCACACTGTTGATTTTAACAAGCATGAAAGAAGGCTACTTAAAAATAGCAGTGTTATATTTAGGCTCTTCTGATGGCTTTGGGAAGATCTATGCTCACTTGGCTGAGATGGGGAACTCTTATATGAGACTTCACCGCAAATACATGTGCTTGCAGGAATTTTTTAATAGGTAGTGCCTTCTTTATAAGAAGTGCCTTTCTGTATAAGGGAAGTGCCAGCAGTGCCACTTGCCCCTTTTCCCAGGGCACCTTTGCTAAAAAAGTTCCCACTGATGTAAATGGTAAAACCTAGTTGATTGCATTGGACAAAAACTTTATTCTGTTGTTTGTGTCTCACTCTTTACTTCCTACTCTGTTCGTATCTGTGCTGTTCCATCTGTTTTGAACGCTCACATCAGCTTTACAGCTTGGTATTCTACAAGTGCCCTCTGCCCTTGGATAACTTTGGGATACAAGAAATGAGAGTCATAACAGGAGTTACCAGAACCGTAATTATGTGGAACTATTGCCTGGAACCATTTTAACAGGTTTAAAGCCAGGCAAGGACTTTTCTTCCAGTCTGGAAGAGAAGCTATAATACCACTTTATAACCTGTCTGTGGAGAGGAGCCCCAAAAGATTTTGTCACATTAACTGCTGCCCTCTAAACGCTGTGGGCCATCTGTTATTTACAGTGCATCTTTGCAGATAGCTATCTCACTCTGTGAACAAAGCAGAACGGGTCGAGTAAAAATCTTTGACTAAACACTCAAACAAAGATTGCAATCTTCCTCTCCCATACATGCATACTTTATGAATTCCTTTTTAATTCACAGTAGTTCCTTTTCAAATACATCAGAACATGCATTATTTTAAATGAATACCACTTCCTTTAAAAGAAGAGTGTACAACAAAAGAAAATATTCAACTTTTGATATAAAACTTTTAATCTTCCCTTAGGCTCTCCTGAAATGTAATCATTTTATTTCAAACTGAGAGGAAGAGCTGAAGTCTAAATTATATCCTGTCTAACAATTGACTTCACTATGTGGGCCCTGCATATCATCTAAAGAGGGCTTTAAAAACCACCTGCTAATAGCTGAAAACAATGCTGCATCGGAGACTGCGATTGGGCTGACTTTGGGGATTAGTTTAAAGTACCTTAAAATAAAAAGAAAGCTATTAGAATATTGTCATGAGACTGCAGCTTTATTTCTATTGCTCTGCCGCCAGTACTTTGTTGTGAGGCTCTCACATAAAGATTCCCTTTGGTCTCTGAACAGGCATATAAACCAGAAGAGCGTTTACCTGTAAAGAAGGGGTGTCAGGGACTAAGGAATCCATTAGTTTCCTCTGACTGAACCTGTTTTAACAAATTTACTCATGCTGAAGAAGAGAGGCAACCCAGCTTGCCAGTCACATTTCTAAAAGCAGGCTTTGTTTCAGTCATTTCTGTGACTGAAAATAGAGAAAGTTGTGGACTGTGCAGCCCAGCAGGTCCTCACCTGCACAGCTACAGGCAGGCAGGACAGCTACACCCAACAGGAGCCTGGCAGTCACCTCTCTGCAGAAATGCCCTCCAAGCACTTACCAGCCTTTCTACTCACCCCTTCAGCCTGAAGGTCTATTTCTATCAGGTACCTGTCGCTGGAGTAATTCAGCACATTCAAAACCAGAAAGCATACCTCACAGCAACTCAAGATAATTTAGCCCTCAAGCTGGAGGGAGGCTATCTGAAATACCCCAGCCTGGGAGCCACTGCAGAACCAAAGACAGTGATTGCTGCTTGCCCCAACCTTCAGTTTGAAGCTGAGACCCCCCCCACCACATCCCTGCCTCCATATTTCAGAATAAGCCTTCTTATTCCTTTGTTACTGCACAAACATGAGCTTACTGAATTAAAATTGTCTTCCCCATACCATATATTCCATGCTAAGCTACAAATGACAAGATACTATGTTGAGAAATTGATAGTGTTTACATTGAATTCTTGTAAATCAATTAGATTATTTAGGAACAACCCATAGTGGCAATGCTCTCAATCATTAAAGCATATTTAATTCTGTTGCTTAGTGACCCCTTCACCTTTACCTAATCTGAACCATACACACTGAGAGTCACTGTCTTGTTTGTCTGGATTTATTCACGGCATTTTAGATCTCAGGTATGCGGTGAACACAAGACCTGATTAAACAAGGTACAAGGGAAAAAAAAAAAAAAAAAAAGGTGCAATTTACATTGGCTTAGCTCACAAATGAACACCATGGTTACTAACTGAACCTGCAGCAGAAGTAGCCTGGACAAAATTCTTCCCTTTCATCATTTGCAACCCAACCCTCCTCATTCGGAATCATCTCTCTTGGAAAGGAGAAACACAGCTGATCTGGCAATATTTTGATGCACCAACATGCCGATCTTTTTCAAAGCAAACAGACCTTACATCCAAAATCATTCATTTGTTTTGCTGTCATTGCTGTTTTTGTTTTTTTGTTGGCTGTTCCAAACAGAATGGCTAGAGACAAGAAAAAAGATATGGGGCCATTTCATATATTTGAAATTACAAACAAATACAAATTGCAAGCTTGCAAACACATAATAATAATACTGGGCAAACACAATTTTCATTGGGTAAAATTATGAATGGTAATGAACCATAGAAACAGGCTACACTTTGTACTAGTTCCAAAGTGGAATTTTTGGATGTAAGTTCAGCAGGTGGTTATGTCTTTTTTTTAGTCTTGTACTTCTTGACTTTTCAATGGTTATGTTTAGCTGTGTACATCAATAAGAGAAGTGTCCCGATTGTGGTCATTGCTTCTTTTAATTTCTAACAATATGGGTCTATGACCACATCTCTGTGAAGCTGTTGCTCTTCTTGTAACAGCTAGAGGAATAAAGAGGTCATTCTGTACTTTCAGGGAATGGAGGGAGTAAGGAGGATGATTACACTCCCTTTCGCTTTGTAGGTTGTATCTTAGCCCAGTCCTTGCCTCCAAACCAGTACCATGATCTGCGGTGTGGTCTCTGTATATATCACGCTTAGATGACAAATGGTCATTTTTCCAAATTTGGTCATAATACAACTAAGCCAAGTGTTGAAATCAGATAACTACATAAAGTCTCTGTTTCCATTAACAGCAAAACAAAACAAAAATCAGAAAGTTCCATGTAAGTGCAGAAAGGACCAGATAATTGATGTGACACAACCATGTGAAAGGTTGCACTATAGCACCCCAAAGACATATACCTGCTAGCTGAACTAGATCTTCCTTTGGTACTTTGAACTGCATCTACCCATAACCTGCCATCAGTAAAGCTTTTGACAGGATACCAAACTGACTGTACATTTGCATTTTCTCCATTTGCTTTAACAGGGATCTTCACAGTACTTCCTTGCAAAGCATCCTTTTAAAAATGATGCTAGAACGCTGCTGTGTGCTGAGTGCAGCGGTGCTGTTCCCAGCATGGTGTCAGATAATGCTCCTTGCTGGGCTTTGGCTGAGGCACAGCAGAAGTCACTCAGCATTCACGTCTCAGCCAAATATCAGTACATTTCAATTCCTTCTTCTGAAATTTCCCTTTCCTTCATGCCAAAAGAGGTCAGTTTTCGTACAGATTTTCAGACTGATCAAAGATCTCAGCCTCACCACAGACAGCAACACCAGCACTACGACCAGCCCCAGCTCTTCCAATACATCAGCTCTGCCGAAAGATACTGTAGCAAAAATCTGGGATGCAGATAATGGCTGTTTGTATGTTAATGTTAAAGGTCATCAATTCAAAAAGCAACCATTGGAATTCAGAATCACTGCGAATATGTTCTTTTCAGTGTCAAGTTTAGAAAAATTGCAAGCACTGCAAGAAGAAAAAATATATTTGATTAAACCTGTTTCACTGATCCATTGGTACAGACTTATAGCATAATGGTACTTCAACCTGTCAAAATCTAGAAAATCAAGTAAACAGTTACCAGTTATCTCTGGTTTTGAGAGTTTGAACTTTTCAATGTTTTTATAATTTCCTTTTTTTTTGTTGTGTTGTCCCGCTCTACTCTCCCCCACACCACCACCCCTGACTATCTTAAAATGTATCACCTCACTTTTGGTGCTACATTTGGCCAGTCTTGTGTTCCATTTAAATGTCAGGCTGTCTCCCTTTCTTTCCTTGAGCACCCTGGATTCATTCTCTGATACACCAGAGGGCTGTGCTGCCATCCAGAGGAAACCTGACAGGCTGGAGAAATGGGCTGACAAGAACCTCACAAAGCTCTTCGAGGTGAAGTGCAAAGTCCTGCACCTGACGAGGAACAACCCCACATGCCAGTACAAGATGGGATTGCCCAGCTGGAGAGCAGCTTGGTAGAAAAGGTCCTGGAGGGTCCTGGTGGACACCTAGTTGAACACGAGTGAGCTCTGTGCCCTTGCCACAAGGAAGGCCAATGGTATCCTGGACTGCATTTGGCAAAGTGTTGCCAGCAGGTCCAGGGAGGTGATCCTGCTCCTCTCCTCAGTCAGCACTGGTGAGGTTGTACTGAAGTACTGTCTGGTTCTGGGCTCCTCAGTACAAGAGAGACATGGAGCTACTGGAGAGAGATGAT